TAGATATCACAGATATCAATCTATCAGATTGATAAAAATGACCAAAAAGAAAGGAGTAATTTTATTGTTGATCTTGGGAGAGCCTTGATTGATGAACACCTCGCTACACTTAATCTCAATTCTCTCCCGCTGGAATTACAGATGACAATTCAAGTAGAAAAATGGCTCAAGTACATCAAGGGAATCTTTGATGCCACAAGAATCTGATACTCTAAAAAGGTGCTACAAATGTCTATTAAAAAATGCGGGAAAATAAAAACCCTTCGCTCTGTAGGTCAACTAAACATTTTAAAAAATATTTCTAATAATTTGTGAAACTGTAAAAACAGTATAACCTCGTTAATTCAACATACGGCAATTCGACACTATCTTAATCCGACAATTTTTTGATGTCCCGACCTCCGACCTATCAAATAACAAACAGCAACGACATATCGAAAATACAAAACTTCCAATAGTTCGACCATTCTAAAATTCGAATTTTGACAGTTGAAATTTTTTTTACATATAACTGCGCAATGTCGCGAGGGTTATTGGCTTTTTTGGGCGGGAATTTAGGCATCATAGCTAATTAACCCTTAACTGGACAGGTGATTATGATTTTTTTTCTTACGTAACTGAACCTGTTGGGTTGATTCAACCCACCTATGTAACTTTATGAAATAAGCGCCAAATAATGGTTCAAATCAATATTTAAAAAATTATTTAATGAAAAACAAATGTTAATATACAGATTTTGGCTTTTAAAAATTCTAAATATAATCTACAGTCGAACCTCTTTAATTCAACATCCCAAGGGATAAGAGCTTTCGGTTGAATTAAAGGAAGTGTTGAATTAAAGTTAGATGATTAGCTAATCATCTAACTCATTAAAATAATATTTTAAAAAAATAGATTTGTAATATAAATTGATCATAATAATTGAAACCATTGTGTTTGCACTTTTTGTATTTATTTTCATAATTAACTTTTAGTATAATGGATAAAATGGCAATAATTCATATTTTGAAACATAAATAATTACAAATAATATTTTATTCTAATTTAAGAATATAGCAGTTGAAAGGAAATTAAATATGAAAAATGAAAAGAAAATTTAAAAATATTATTTAAAAAGAATCATGAAGATATTTTTAAAAATTCCTTTATAGATGTCTGTTTTTGCACTAAAATCCTATTCAGGATGTATTCCAGATGGTCTATTTAAAAAAAACATGCATGTCTTTCTTCCTCTGAAATGTCTTTTAATAAATGAATAAATTTTATTGTATTAAAGGCATTCACTGCTGCTGCACCTGTTATTGATTTTGTGGTTAAATCTTTTATAACACGGAAATGGAATATTGAAATAAAATGTTATCATATCATTGTGGCTACATTATGAAGATATTTTTATTTAAAAGGAAATTTTTTGTAAATTTTAAAATAGCTAAAATATTTCAATTCTGAAAATTAAAAAGAAAATAATAATATTAATTAGTGCACGATTCCTAAATTCAAGCATAAAAAAAAAACAATGACACTTTCGACATTGCACAACGGCACTGCAAAGTGAAACTTTAACTAACAAGAAAAAAAGTGCGTAGCGCGATTCTATCAGCGACCGCCGATACCTTTATAGCAGTAAAGTTGTATGTAAAAAAACATTCAACTGTCGAAATTCGAATTTTAAAATGGTCGAACTATCGGAACTGTTGTATTATCGATACTGTCGAATTACGGTTTGTTATTTGATAGGCCGGAGGTCGGGACATCAGAATATGGTCGAATTAAGGTAGAGGGTCGAATTTGTGTGTGTCGAATTAACAAGGTTATACTGTACATTGTAAATATGATGATCTAGGTTGCTCTTTTTGAGCGGCACCTAATAAAGTTATTTGGAACTTGGTCCAATACAATATTGAAAAGGTCTGGAGATTGAAAGGGCAAACCCACTGGGAGGTTTCACCAATGATAAGCCATACCTTCCCTCTTTCAATTTTTAATAATCGCAGGATAAGAAGGGTATAGAAATAATTTTAATTATATCTATTTTTAAAAGAAAATGGTGCTAAAAATATATAGATTTTTGTCAGTCTTCATCATTTAAGTGTATCTCCATTTCAACTTGTTTGTTAGAGGTATTCAGTTTTAAAAATGCCAAATGAGTTTTACAATATGACAACAATAGAAATTTCTATTAACAGAGGTATGTAACATACAACTTATGTTCTATATTTACAACTGTATACTAGAAGTAATCACAACATATTTTTTGGTGGATTATTTAAAAATAAACACATACTGGACTAATAATGATGTTTTTTATTCAGATATACAAAGAGACAAAAGTACATTTTTTAATGGACAAAAAAAAAATCCATAATATTTAGTTGCAATTCCTACATATTGTAATTATATATATATGAGAAAACAATAGAAAAAATAATAAAAAGGTTAGGTGTTGATATTAAAAATAATGAAGGCATATCCTGATATCAGGATATGCCTTCATTATTTTTAATATATATAGGATATATGGAAGGATGATATTAATGTACCAAAAATGGCACCTCTCTCTTTATGTATTATGTTTATCAATTCAGTATAAAAACTTGTCATGATAAGGAATGAGCACAACAGTTTTGGCAAATACAGAAAAAAGACAAATTGTATAGCATGGTTTTTAGCTCTGGCCCTCATCAGTACAGGGGAGGCTTTGATTTCATTACATTTTAAATGAGAAGTTAAATATATGTGAGTGTGTGGTATATATATTGGATGTATAAATAAGTTTGTGCATTTAGGATAACTATAGAGGTACTAGTTTATTATTCTATTGTTTCATCTGGCAACACCATTATTTTTAAGCATCATCATAAGGGTTTCTTTTTCAGTAACAGTCAATTTTCCCTGAAGTTTCTGTGTTAATAATCTGTTTTTGCTAGGAGTTTTACTTCATTACTTCAATATAAAGAAAAAAGCTGCTGAGAGTCATTGTATTTTAGTAGAAGTTTATGGTGACCATGCTCTAGCTGAACGAATTTGTCACAAGTGGTTTGCATGGTTTAAAAGTGGCAATTTTGATTTGAAAGACAAAGAAAGACTCGGAAAGCCACTAAAGTTTGAGGATGAAGAATTAGAGGCAAAGCTCGGTGAAGATCCAAAACAAATTCAAAAGAAACTTGCAAAAACGCTTGTCAACATGCCATTTTTCATTGCTTAAAAGAAATGGGAATATCCCAAAAGGTAGGAAAATGGGTGCCATATGAACTTAAGCCAAGTGACGTTGAACAATAATTTTTTTAGGTGTGAACAACTGATCCAAAGTAAAAAAGGGAAGGGGTTTTTACATCGAATTGTAACTGGAGATGAAAAGTGGGTCCATTAGGATAATCGATAATCCAAAACGTCGGGCAACATATGGATACCCTGACCGTGCCTCATCATTCATGGTGAGAAGATTATGCTGTGTATTTGTTGGAAGCAGCTAGGAGTGGTATATTATAAGCAGCTACAACCGAATGAAAGGATCATTGGGGAGGTCTACCGAAGATAATTGATGTGTTTGAACCGAGCATTACGAGGAAAACATCTGGCTGACCAGCACTTCTCCAATTACGATTAAGTAAAAAAATGGATCAATGAATGGATCAATTGCCAGAAAGATGGAAAAAGTACTGGCTAGCAACAGACAATACTTCAAACATTAAATGACTAACCAATTTTTCACAATAAATCTTAAATTTTCAAAAACTGCACTAATTTATTTATACCCCTAATATATATTTCAATTATTAGTTGTTAAAGTTATTTTACAAAATCAAATGCAAGACAAACTTATTTTTAACATATTTAAATGTTGATTTCAAAATTGACAATTCTTATATTTACATTTTATTTTTCATCATATATGGAAAAAATTATAATGGTTTGAAGATGGTGAATACATATTGGTTGCAATATAACATTTTCTCATTTAAACTTTTAATAAATATGCAGCATGCATGCCATTAATAGACATTTTACCTATGTGAAGGTATAAAGGCTTTTTGAGAGATTATATGTTGACTCAAAATCACAATGTTCACATTTAAAAGCCATTCGGCAGTGTTTCATCAAATGTCTTTTGAGCATAAATTTGTGGCGACTACACTTTGCTTCAGCGAGCGCGAACTGGGACAAAGCTCCACTACACACAGGGGCAGTGGATGGCCTCGGCAACCGCGAGCGTCAACCTGACTACGCATGCGCGCGGGACGTCATCAGAGACTCTGGCCACTCACGCGGTAAAACAACAAGGCTAGCTCCAACCGCCGTTACTTCTTTTCTCTTTAGATATTTCTGGCTTTAAATAAATTAATTTTAATTATAATTTTATCAGCGGCCTTTCCACAAGCCACACCAACACATCACGCAACAACCATCCTACAAATTTCTTAATTGCTTTATATTTACAAAACTCACATTCAAATGACTTTTCCCTATGTGTGTGTGAACAAATGTTGATTGAGGGTGCATTTATATCTTGATCCATAGTCACAAAACTCACATTTAAAAGGCTTTTCACTTGTGTCTTAATTGATGCCTTTTAAGACTACTACTATGAATTGTTCTATAATCACATTCAAAGAGATTTTCACCAGTGTGCATCATCAAATGTTGAATAAGGGTACTTATATCTCTTGCTCTATAATCACAAAATTCACATTTATGGGGTTTTTCACCTGTATGAGTCATCAAATGTTGAGTGAGGGTGCTTTTGGATCATGATTTATAGTCACAAAATTCGCATTCAAATGGCTTTTCACCTCTGTGATTGAGAAGATGACTTTGAAGATGACAATTTTGAAATTCTTTGTATTAACAATATTCACATTTAAAGGGCTTTTCCCCTATGTGTTTTAAAATATGTCTTTTAAGATTACTACTATGAATTGTTCTATATTCACAATATTCACATTTTAAAGGCTTTTCACCTGTGTGTTTTGATAAATGAGTTTTAAGATTACTTTTATGATTTGTTCTAAATTCACAATATTCACATTTGAAGGGCTTTTCACCTGTGTGGTTTAATATATGCCTTTTATAGGTACTACAATGAATTGTTTTATATTCACAATATTCACATTTGAAGGGCTTTTCACCTGTGTGTTTTAATATATGAGATTTAAGATACCTTTTATGAATTGTTCTATATTCACACAATTCACATTTTAAAGGCTTTTCAACAGTATGTAAAAGTAGATGACTTTTAAGATTATCTTTGTGAAATGTTCTGAATTCACAATATTCACATTTAAAGGGCTTTTCACCAGTGTGTGTCACCAAATGCTTAATAAGGGTCCCTTTAGCTATTGCTCTATAATCACAAAACTCACATTTATGAGGTTTTTCACCAGTATGAGTCATCAAATGTTCATTAAAAATTCTTTTATTTTTTGTTTTATAGTCACAAAATTCACATTTAAAAGTCATTTTAAATGAATTATTGACTAAATGTCTATGAAGATTGTATTTCCTTTTAGCTTTGTAATCACAAAAAATCACACTTTTAGAACATTTCTCTTTTTTTCTACAAATGAATGCCTTTCAAGTTAGCTATCACACTTTAGGTTTTGATTAGGTTGGTTAGACTCCACAATATCTATGAGAGGAAAATAATAATATTTTGAAATTAAGCTATACTTGATATTTTGTATTTATAATATTGGCACCAAAGACCTTTTCAAAAATGCTACTTATTGACATATGGATGCACAATTTGTTGTTATTATGCTATTAAATAACAGTGATATCAGTTTCTAATTGAATATATATATTTGTAATTCCCTTATAAGAACAGATTTGAATTTCCCACAAATTTGCAAAAACAAATTATTAAAAATGGATTTATTTATTTTTAAATGTAGAATATGAATCAAACTTTAAATGTTGTGTTCTTGAATGATAATGCTTTCTTCTTAGTTAAATAAGGCGAAAATTTCTATTGTTACTGGGATAATATTCAAAGAAGAAAATGGAGTGGCTTTTTATCCTGCAAAATAAAAATATATATGTTATTATCATTATTACAGACACACACAATATAGCTATTTAAATATTCAAAAAATCTAGCATTGATCATTTTTCAAGGCAAACATTTTTATGACTTCAAAAATAACATTTATTATTAGGTTAAAACAATAAGAGAACTTGATGATCACAATCTCCTTGATAACACGATTGAGAAAATCTCTTTAACACTAGGCAACCATAGTGAAATTCTTTAATTCACCAGAATATAATCCAATACTTACTTTATTTCAATCATTTTTAAAAATCCTAATCAGCTTAATTACTTTAACTGACTATAATTTAATACTGACCTTAATTCAACTGAAAATTTGAATCCCTCAGTAGGTATTGATTGAATAAGTTAAATTTTATTTAGTTCAGGTTATGGCTGGTTATTTGTAATTAGGAAATTTTATCTGAAGCGGTGGTAGTAGGATAAAAGACCAAGAAAACCTATCATTTCCTTCAATGACCTTTGCGTAACTAGGTCATGGACTACCTCATGTCCTAGAACAGTGATAGTTTTTTTGCATCAAACTTACACTTCTAGGAATTGAGACTTAAACAGCATTCCTTAAGACAATTTAATGAGTTGAAGGCATCTTAGATGTTCTTCAAAGTCATCTGAAAAATAAAGAAGTCATTGAGGTGACAGATTCATTCAAAGGTAGCTGGAGCATTTGAATAAGCCAAATGGCATCACTTTGAACTAATAAAGTCCATCTGGAGTTATAAATGCTGTCTTCTCATCATTGTCTGATTCTTCTATGTCGATTTGCCAGCATCATGATTGGAGGTCCATTGAGGAATAAAATCTAGCTCCCTGTAAGCAGTGTAGAGTTTTGTCGATCCTTGGGATAGGGTAGACATCCATTTGTATTTTTTCAGGCAGCGGTAATCGACGCAGAATCTCCAACTTCCATCCTTTTTTTCTGATCAAGACTACATGTGAGGCCCACACACTTTCAAAAGCCTAAATGATGGCAATTTTTTCATTTTGATTAGCTCATCATGAATAACTTGGCGATCTGTTGGTGCTACTCAGTTAGGTCATTGTTTGGTCAGAAGGTGGTCTTCAGTGTTATTTCACTGCTTAACATTTGATATCCTTGAACCATTTTCTTTTACTGAATTGAAATTATCTATGTAATTTTTTTAAAAATTCCTTTAATTTTATTTTAACATTCATTAAGTGAATCATCTAAAAAAATCTGAGATTTTGGGTCTCCGGAATGTTTCTCCTCTTCTCCAACTTGGTTACAATCAGCTAGATTACATAGTTGACTATCTTCAATGATAACACACTTAGCTATGTGCATCTCTTGAGGGATTAGTTTCGGATATGGATTCCAATTCACCACCCAAAGTTTACCACGGTTACTGGTAAGTGAAATGAGAGAGGTGGGAGCCATTAGTTCTCTTTTCAGCAATAGCTCTTTTCAAAATTATGCCACCACAATTTTGTAATTTTTATTTTATGACTTGCTACTTCTATTAGCTGTATAGAGGCAGGTTCGATTCTGTATTCCAGTTCCGAGTAGAGAGGTGAACTGATCTTAGGTTACATCTTTGACAAGGCATTTTTCTAAGAAAATGTATCATCAGCTGAGTCGATTATAGCTCTGGAAAATTTCAAAAAATCCCATTCAAGAATTAGGTTATGACTACACTCCTCTAGGACATAAATTTAACCCTTTCCGGGCAGCGCGCCACTTTGTTTACGTGAGTGGAGAGGCTGCCGTCTACTGCGCACGTAATACGATCCGCTCGCGCATCTTCCTTTAAACCCCCATATTATTAAATATAATGGAAATCATCATGTTTTACAAGCGGAAATATATTTATTATGGTATATAAAATAAAAATTATTAAAAATAATCCTTTCTGAAAATTCTGATAGATCTTTCATATGTTTTGGACATTCATTCTGACATGGTTCCACAAGCTCTTCCACCAAATATTCTAGATATTTTTCATGTCTGATTGGCCTTAATCCATTTTTTTTTTTTTGAGTTTTAGGTGTATATGTATGAGTTGACAGTAGCCACTTCTAGGCCCCAGAAAAATAATTTTCTCTACCATTTTACAGTTTTTCTGAGAAATTTGTAAGTTATACAATAGTAGCGAGCATCATCCACACCTCCCATATTCAAGGTTCTGTTCATCTTTACTTTGGTCTGAAGATGGTAATAACGCTGTTACCGAAGCGTCACACACTATTTATTTATTTGGATTTGGTCTTATTACCTTGTGTTTATAATCTACTAGCCGAATGACCCGGGCAACGCCTGTGTTTTACCCGATTGAATGTTTTTATTCAAATACAATTTTTACAATTATAAATTGGCGCCTTAAATAAATGCATATATTAGTTAATAACTATAGCCTATGTGCTTTATCTGCCTATGTACTGTTGGCTTCCGTAAGAGGCTCGTAACTGTATATAGAATAGCCTACCGCCCGCCATGCGCTCGCACAGGGAGGTCACGTGCTCGCCGGCAGCCAACGGGCGCGTGCAGCCGGCAGGGGGGGCATTACGTCACTCAAGGTCACCGTCGCGCCAACGATGACGCGTGATCGTAGCCGTCCAATGGGGTCGCCGGCCATCCGTGACAGAGGTGGCCGATGACTGATTAGGAAAGACGCTCGTGACTATATATAGTAATAATAATAAAAAGGCATATATATTGAATTGAATAAGAGATGTATTTGCCAATATTTGCCTTTTTTTTTAATCTAATGATTTTAAATTTGGATTGTTCTATTTTCAAAATATGAATATATCTATATTAACCCTTTAAGCGCCGAGGTAACGATCCATCGTTACCCTATAACGTCACCAGGAGCGCCGGGGTACCGATCTATCGTTACTTCCTTGTAGGGCCCCTCGTGGGGGAGGGGGTGGTGGCTGGCTATTTTTATCACCTCCCTTCTCACTTCTGGGCTTGTTTCTACACGTTAGCTGTGTTTTTATCTCCTTTGTCTTGCGATTTCCTTTTTTTATTTTTAATTTTTTTAAAATGGCTTCCGGTTCAGAATGCTCTGCATTTTCTGAGGACACTGAAGTTTATTCTTTGTCTTCTGAGTTTGAAGAAAGTGTTGAAGACACTTTTGAAGATGAATTTTCTGATGAAGAAGTGGATGAAAACCAGCCAAGTCCTTGGGTAAGAGTTTATACTCCATTTTCCACATCCAAAACATTGACTTTTGGAGAAGTTTGTGGCCCACAGCACCTTCCCCCCTCTATTATCCGGCCTATTGAATACTTTTTGTTATTCATAACAATGAATTTGATGAAGGAAATTGTGGCTTTTACCAATAAATGTGCCCAAACTTTATTGGCAAGCAATAGGGACAAATTGCCTCCATTTTCTAGGAAGCTGGCCTGGAAGGACACTACCTTGGATGAGATGATGGCCTTTATTGGAGTCATCTTCAATATGGGCAATGTGAAGAAGAACCAAATCAGGGACTATTGGAGCAAGAATGAACTTTTAGAGACGCCCTGGTTTGGTAAAGTTATGTCTAGAGGGAGATTTGAGTTGCTCTACAGCTGCTTTTCTCTGATTGATGACTTCAACCTGGTTCCAAGTTCTCATCCTGATTACAACCCAACTGCAAGATTTGAGAAGCTCATAGAGCATGTGAACAACAAGTTTATATATTATTATAAGCCTACTCAAAATCTTACAGTTGATGAGAGCTTGGTGTGCCTAAAAAACCGAACTCGTCTTAGACAATATATGCCCCAAAAGCACCATGGTCGATTTGGAGTCAAACTGTGGATGCTTTGTGAATCTAAAACTGGCTATTGTCTGAGAATGAAGCCATATAAAGGGAAATTATCTCCAATTATCAAGTCCCTTTCCTATGATGTTCCAATGAATCTGCTCCAGGAATCCAGTCTACTTGGAAAAGGTTATCATTTGATAACTGATAACTTTTTCACCAGCATCAACCTAGCCAAGGACTTACTGGACAGTCATACTTATTTGACTGGTACTATAAGAACTAATAGGAAGGGACTTCCTAAAACCTTAACAAGTGCAAAATTAGGTGTGGATGATTCCCTTTATATGGTAAATAATAATCTACTGGCCCTGGCTTACAAAGAAAAGAAGAGCAAACCTCCAGTGAAGTTTCTCTCAACATTTTGTGATGCTTCTTCTGGCAAAAAGAAGGTGTCAGACCAAAGAGACTACCCACAGATGAAAATCTGCTATGATAGCTACATGGGAGGGGTAGATCTCAATGATCAAATGTTGTATACATATATGGATGAAAGAAAAGGAAGAAAATTTTATAGAAAGGTGATTCTCAACATCTTCCACAGGGCTCTCCTAAACTCCTTCATCCTATATGAACAGCATACCAAAGACAACCCCAAGCTTTCTAGAAGGGCTTTTAACTATTCAGTAATAAATGAATTAGTTAAAAATCACTTGAAACCTCCAGTTCTGCCTTCAACAAGCCAGGAAGTACTCGAAAAACTTCCAGAAAAGAGAGAGAGTAGATGTTTGGAGTGTACAAAAGAAGGCCTGAAGCGGAGGTCTAGAACCATATGTTCAAAGTGCAAGAGAGGCTTGCATCCAGTCTGTGCTTTTAAACACAAGTGTTAGCTTTGTAAATAGCCTTGTATATATCTAAAATTCCTTTTTATATTTGTGAAACCTAATTTTGAAAAATTCAAGTCGATTATTCAATTAATTATAATTAACCCCCAATTAAAAAATTAAATACTCATTTCAGTATAATAAAATCAGAGTGTTGTGTTGAGAGAGGAGTCTGGATTATATTGCACTTTACAGAACACTTCTATCTATCATATTTATTTATTTATAACATTTTAAACTTAACAACTACTTGATCATCAGTTTAGGCTTAATTAGTGTGGTCCTGATAGTGATAGTTAGCATTCGGGCCCTAGAGCTTAAAGGGTTAATATGTGAGAAATGATATAAGTATTTGTTCAAAATCTTAATTTATTAGTTAGGTATGAGTACATTTTGTGTAGAAATAGGATTAGTTGACTTTATAAGGTAAACTTATTCATCGGTTTGTATCCCTCGATAGCTCAGTTGGCAGAGCGAAGGACTGTAGATGTAATTAAGCGGTGATCCTTAGGTCGCTGGTTCAAATCCGGCTCGAGGGAGTTTTTTTTTTTGGTAGATGCGCGCGCATCCGTGACAGAGGCGGCCAGCCGGCCGATGAGGAAAGACGGTCGTGACTATATATATACTAGACGAATGACCCGGGCAACGCCCGTTTTTTACCCGATTGAATGTTTTTATTCAAATACTATTTGTTACAATTATAAATTGGAGCCGTGGATGTCACTCTTGTGAAACGTCCCGCTCCAAACTTTACATGTACATTAGGTCAGCTGGTATTACCCCTCATTTTCACCGCTAGAGGCGCGAGCGAATTGACTTTTTGTAAATATACATAATTATAAAGATAGAAGCTTCTATAGAAGATAATGATCATAATGATGATGCGCGCGCATCCGTGACAGCGATGAGGAATTGAGGAAAGACGGTCGTGACTATATATTAACGAATGACCCGGGCAACGCCCGTGTTTTACCCGATTGAATGTTTTTATTCAAATACTATTTGTTACAATTATAAATTGGAGCCGTGGATGTCACTCTTGTGAAACGTCCCGCTCCAAACTTTGCATGTACATTAGGTCAGCTGGTATTACCCCTCATTTTCACCGCTAGAGGCGCGAGCGAATTGACTTTTTGTAAATATACATAATTATAAAGATAGAAGCTTCTATAGAAGATAATGATCATAATGATGATGCGCGCGCATCCGTGACAGCGATGAGGAATTGAGGAAAGACGGTCGTGACTATATATTAATAATAAAATAATAATAATAATATAATAATTATTATTATTAACACAAAGCAATAACGCGCCATCTATACATATAAAATAAAAGGATTTAAAAGCGCGAATGTTTCTTTTATACATAAAACGAACTTCTACTGTCCTTACTGCGATGAAAAAATATATTGGGAGGGCTTGGCTCATCAGTGGTGAACCCTCCCAGCGGTTTCACCAATTTAATCCACCAGACCGCTTCTCAGAGCTCTAATATTGTATTGGATCATTCTGCTTTTATATGCTACACTGAAGGATGGAATCTTAGAAATGGTGTCCTCACAGTAAGGACAGTAGAAGTTCGTTTTATGTATAAAAGAAACATTCGCGCTTTTAAATCCTTTTATTTTATATGTATAGATGGCGCGTTATTGCTTTGTGTTAATTTATTCCGAATGGCCTTGTCTTTATAGTTTGCTGAAGAGCATTGCTCGAAGCAAATATTTGAATATAATTCTACTGTCCTATAAGCTTATGTCCATAGTTTACTTAAAACCCATTTCTAAGATTCCATCCTTCAGTGTAGCATATAAAAGCAGAATGATCCAATACAATATTAGAGCTCTGAGAAGCGGTCTGGTGGATTAAATTGGCGAAACCGCTGGGAGGGTTCACCACTGATGAGCCAAGCCCTCCCAATATATTTTTTCATCGCAGTAAGGACAGTAGAAGTTCATTTTATGTATAAAAGAAACATTCGCGCTTTTAAATCCTTTTATTTTATAATTATTATTATTATTATTATCTCATTAGATAATGATAATGATCTAATGATGATGCGCGCGCATCCGTGACATGAGGAATTGAGGACGGTCGTGACTATATATGTTGATATTAAAATAATAAAATAATAATAATAATATAATAATAATTATTATTATAATTAGATAATGATAATGATCATAATGATGATGCGCGCGCATCCGTGACAGAGATGAGGAATTGTTGAGGAAAGACGGTCGTGACTATATATGTTGATTATTATTAATAATAATAATATAATAATAATAATTATTATTATTATCATTAGATAATGATAATGATCTTAATGATGATGCGCGCGCATCCGTGACAGAGGCCAGGAAAGATGGTCATGACTATATATGTTGATAATAATAATAATTATCATTAGATAATGATCATAATGATGATGCGCGCGCATCCGTGACAGATGCCAGGAAAGACGGTCGTGACTATATATATGTTGATAATAATAATAATAATAATTATCATTAGATAATGATAATGATCATAATAATGATGCGCGCGCATCCGTGACAGAGGCGGCCCGTGACGGTCGTGACTATATAAGTTAATAATCCAAATTGTGCCTTATCAGTATGGAAGGCATAAGATGGCTCACAGCTACAAATTAAAAAAGAAATCATTATCAAAACAATGAGCAATCTGACAATAATAGCAGAGGAGGCAGCTGAAGCACCCTCAGACAATTACGAAACGCAGTTCTGCCCAAATCCTTCTACATATTACTCAAAATCAAACAGATCTCTAATCAAAAGAGTTAGCACATACCTCAAACCAATAACAAAACAGGTCTGGAACCCACTAACATTGGAGAAATTAAGGCAATAATCGACACCTTCCCTAATAAAAAAGCCCCAGTCATCGAAAAAATCACAAACGATGCCCTAAAATTACTGCCCAACTATATTTTTGAGTCACTAACCAGCACCTTTATTACCTCACTGAAGCATGACAATTAGAAAACCTCAAAAATCTGTCCTGTACTGAAACAAATATTGAAAGAATCATTCTCAGAAAAAAAAAGCACTGAATGAAAAAAATCCCCTAAGGCCTGAACAAATAGTTAGAGCTAATACATTGACCCTTCATCAACTTGTGGTTGTAACGGAGAAGATAAGAAAGGCCATGGAATCAAAACAATTAACAGGATGATCTTTTTTGACATCCCCAAGGCATTCGAAAAAGTTTGGCACAAGGCCCTTTTGTACAAAATATCCAGAAAGAACCTGTCTGAAGACATCATCATAATGACAAGGAGCTTTCTTTTTATGATAGAAACTTTAGAGTTAGAATCAAAGATGTTCTGTTGACCCCAAGGCAAATTTGAGCAGGAGTCCCTCAAGGTTCAGTCATCGGCCCCACCTTCTTTAACATCTTCATAGATGACTAACCTTGCCCAGAAGGAATGTCGCTGCATCTATATGCTGACGACGTTGCAACACTAGTTTCAGCCTACAACTTCAAAATATCTACTTAAAACTTGAAGAAGCACTGGCTTTCGCGAATATTTAGTGTGACAAATGGCAGGTTGTATTGAACCCACAAAAAACAGAAGCCGTTCTTTTCTCAGACAAAAGACTAAAAATAAAGCAGACCCCAGTAGATCTAGGGTTCTCTGATGACCCATAAAATGTAAGGACCGCGTCTCCGCTACTTGGGAGTCATCCGCGATTAAAATTTGACCGTTTAAAAACACGTCCAGAACCTCGGTAAAGCAGCCCAACACAGACTAGCCCTACTTTTGGGAAACAAAATAAAATTATCTCTACACTGCAAACACACCATATATACGTGTATTATAAGACCAATTATAACCAATGGCCACCAAGTCTTTATAATCGCAAACGTAACACATTGAATAAATTGGAAGCTTTGAAAACAAGATAATAAAGAAAATAATATGGGCACCATGGTTTGTCAGGAGCAATATTATTTAAAAGGATCTCAAAATAGAAAACATTAAAGATCTCATTATAAAACAACCTTTTTACTTTAATGAAAAATCATAAAATCATGAAGCATAGCATTCTAAGAAGACTGTAACTACAACATTCATAAAATACCATAGAGAGGCAAAGTTGTAAGTAACATGATCAACTTTTGTATAACCTGGGTGTACAAATAGGCCAAATGTCTGGGTTTGTTTTCAGACTTATTGTCTCACTCTCTCTTGAATTATCCTGGGTCTTACTAAAGGACTTATTGTTCATTTGTTGCAGATGATATCAAACTGTTTAGATGTCGCCAGGCTGATTTATGGGGTAGCAAAATATAAATATCAAAATTATCCAGGTAGTTGGCGCTCCAGGAGCCTTGTTTACCTTTATGTTATTACTATCAAAATTAATAATCTGTTCATAAAATAATTAATAATTTGCTACAATATCCTAAATAATTACATTAATATTTACACACACATAATAATTCTTTATATACCAAATATAAATCATAAATTTATATATATATATATATATCAATTTTTGTTTTTAAATATTAATATTATTTTTTTAAATTGCCCACGTTGGAGGGGCTGGCACGAATATTCGTCTTAAAAAACATCGAGTAATTAATAGTTGGGCAAAAAATAGTTTAGGTTCTTACTTTTTAATTGTGTGATTAATTTTTCTACTTTTCAATTTTTTCTTATCGCACTTTATATTAGTTATATGATATTTTTAAAAAAAATTACTGAAAAATTGAGTCTTATGAATGCATTATTTTAAATCTCGATGATAAACCTTGAAATTTGTAAATACCCAGAGTGGCCAGCGAATTAACAAGATATATAAAAAATAATAATACTGATGCAGTTCGCGAAATATCAATTCACTTTGCAAAAAGTGCCAATAATGTTTGTTAAATTCATATATTAATAGAAAAATATACTTGAACAGGTCCAACTCTTGAAGGTAAATGATAAGAATATGAATTTTTTAAAAGCCTAAAATATATTAAAATGAAAACCTAATCTCAGAGCGCTTAAACTTTCCATAACATAATCAAGAGATCAAGCGCCTTATCCCTATAAAGAAACTGAAAAATATGTTTAATAATGATTTTTCATAAATTAAATAGCATTTCAGTAGGGTTTTTGATCGTCTGTCTAAAAATTAATTGTAAATATTTTTTCCCTCTGATATTTGCCAAATCTAACAATCTTTGTGTTGAGGGTTCAGGCGAGAATCCTCACGCCACTTCACGCCTGGCGGCGCCAGTGTGGCGGGGGGAACCGGCCGAGACTGGAACCTGGCAGTTTGGTTTTGGCTGCGAGTGGGGAAAGTTACTCCGCGTCTGGCTATGTGTGAGATTCTCCTTATGTTCCGGCACTGGTAAATAAAACCGGTACCAAGTGAGCTCAGACGACTCAGAAAGAATTATTGACAAAACAACGGGCACAACACTTTGTTTTCCAATTTAATTTTCTTTAAGTAATCTTTTATGAGAAAATCTTGAAACTCTCTTTTTTCTCCACATTTTTTTTTCTCTTTTCATATTTCTGCATTAAAATTTTTGTGTGTATTTCTTAACTATTATATTCTGAAATGGGGGTGGGGGAGTTTGCACCTCTACCTGGTCAGGAATATCAAAAAGAGGAACCAGATCACCAAGGAACTGACAAGGGAGGTAAAACCCTGTCCCAAACTGTGGTTCTTTACGCCAGCAAACGAGACACCATCCCTGGAGTAAGCTTGTACCTGGCCAACAAGCTGGAAGCCATAAAGGTCCGCCAGCAGAAGGAAATATTGCCGCGGATCTGCCTTTTCAGGGTGAGCGAGGATACCACCAACTCCAACATTGACTTTCCTGCCCACTCCAACTTTTGTTGGGAGACCTCGTGACCATAATATGCCAAAGTAACCCAGAACCCCACCTAACCTAACCATATCCCACCTATGTCCATCTAAGCCACAAACCTCTGGTGATTGCGAGGTGTCGAGATGGAGCCTGAAGCCACCTTTAGCCTTGGCAGCACCGAGCCAGAGACTGAGATCCCCTTCCTGGTGGTCAAGTCACCTGACCTGTGGTGGATGACCTGGCCCCACCAACATCAAGCTAGTCTGAGATGGACTCAGACACCCCTTCCTGGTGGTCGAGCCACATGTCGATGGTGGCTGACTTGACCGCAAGCCAGTCCAAGATGGATTCAGACACCCCTTCCCTGTAGTCAAGCCACCGACCTATGGTGCTTGACCTGACTCCACCATCTTCATGCAGAACACCAGCTCCACCACGAGCCCTGAACCTTTCCCAAGCTGACCCCAAGATGCCCAGAACCAACAATAATAATATTTTTAAAATTATTTTTAATTCAATATTTTTGTATTTTTTTGTGTGAATATTTCTTTAATAATTTTATATTGAATTTATTTTTATATTGAAATCTAAAATAAAAGAAGACGAGTATCTTAAACGGTTTTTTTATGGACGCAAGCTTTCGGGTAAGAACAGGCAAAAACAAAGTAAACACGACGATACTAACACGGCACTTATGGCAGGCAAGAATATATACACCTATGATATTTACATTGCTATGGTAAAGAGAATTACAAATATTACAAATAATATATTTACATAATTATGAATCGACATATATAGAAAATCTAATTTTCAATAAAGATGCTAATTACATGATTGGAGATAGGAGTTTCTTTGGAATACGATACTTAAATGAAAAGATACTATAGGTGGAATTACATGAAGGCCAGGAGAGCATGGTAGGCTTCGGGGAGGTCGATTTTTCTATTGATGCTGCCTTGATTATGTGATTCTATTGATTCCAATATGAGTCTTTGGTGTTGGTTATGTATGCGTCTGTAGAGTATTTTAGGTTGAGTGATGCTAAAAGTATGACCCGTGTCCTGCATGTGCTGATATATGAGGGATTTAGAGTCACGGTTGATATGTATGCTACGGGAGTGTTCAGACATCCTGATGGCAACGGTTCTCACCCACGTAAGTGGCAGAGCATTGCTCACACGAGACGGAATAGACCGCGCCACCAGAACGCAGGGGATCTATGGGGACAAGGGGCTTAGTATAAGGATGTCGGAGGGATGTGAGGAGGTTGGGGGAGTTTTTATAGTAGGTACGGATGCCATATGACTTGAGGTGTCTTGCTATATCAACTGCAGGGGGGGAATAGGGAAGGAAACATATGGATCTATAAGTTGTGGATGAAACAAGGGCGCCCGGTGTGTATGTATGTCTATTGATAAAAGCAAGGGGGAAAGAAGCTTTGGAGAGATGTGATATGATATTGGTCTTTTCTGTAGTTTTAAAAATATCTAGAGAACAGTGGGTATGTATTCTTTTGGTGAGGGTCTTGACTATGTTAACTTTATGTGAGGTGGGGCAGTGTGAGTTAAAGTGAGTATAACAAGGGGGCATTGCTTCTTATAATGAACTGTGGTATGGTATGACAAAGGGGTACGGATAATAAGAACGTCTAAGAATGGAATAACCTTATTGGACTCTATTTCTAGAGTAAATGAAATACTATTATTGTAACTATTAAGATGTGATAATATAGAGCTCTCCTGGCCTTTTTTGCAAATACAAAACACATCATCAATATATCTACGCCATAATAGAACATCTGAAGGAAGAGTGCTGGTAATCCAGTGGTCTATCTGTAATAAAACAATCTCAGCTACAATGGAGGATAGAGGGCTGCCCATCGGGGAGCCCTTAATCTGTCTATAGTGATTCTGTGAGAATGTAAAAGTATTCATATTAAGACATATATCTGTGAGCTGTACTAGAGATGAAGAGGTCTGGGAATCTACGTCCTGTGTGTTGAGAAATTGCGATAAACTCCTAATGATAAGCTCGTGTGGTAGGCTAAGATAGAGGGAGGTGACATCAAATGAGCACATAATGGTGGAAGGGTCGGGGGGTCATAGTGGTTATTTCACCGATAAAACGGGGGGGGGGGGGGTGCTATTGATGGAATAAGTATTGTTACAGCTGCTCAATATTGGGGATAGGTGATTGGATAAGTACTTGGCTAAAGGAAATCTTCGCCCCATCATAGCCTATCATCCATCTCCTGCATTTCCTTTAGCCAAGTACTTATCCAATCACCTATCCCCAATATTGAGCAGCTGTAACAATACTTATTCCATCAATAGCACCCCCGTTTTATCGGTGAAATAACCACTATGACCCCCGACCCTTCCATCATTATGTGCTCATTTGATGTCACCTCCCTCTATCTTAGCCTACCACACGAGCTTATCATTAGGAGTGTATCGCAATTTCTCAACACACAGGGCGTAGATTCCCAGACCTCTTCATCTCTAGTACAGCTCACAGA